AGCAAATCGTGTTTGTCACACACATTGAACTCTGACACAGCTGAGCGTAGTAGCAGCAGCTCCATAAATAAACTGTTGACATTGCTGTAAAACGGTTCGAACCCGGAAGTAGGTCTTCAGCACAAACAATTGCTCGAGGTGCAATTGGTTTGTTATCGAACAGAATTGGCATCAACTGACCTCGAATGGTGAAAGGACGACGAGAGGGGGCTCGAGATGCTCCAAACTTAAGCTCTGTGTAAGTAGCAGCTCTTAGGTAAGTAGGCTGAACACAGATTAAGCGAGTTGTGAAACAAAGAAGCGACCGTAATAGCTTATACCCACACGCTTTAGTTTCTTTTTATCGGGTATGCATATTCCCCTTTCATATTTATTTCTGACAAGCCGGAGCACCTCGAAGCTTCTCGAGTCGATTGTCTTATGTTGTAGATCAGGTCTAGCTTTACACTCTGATCAGTCTGCTATCAACTTCTCTCTGAGCTAAATCCCCGCATAAAGCAAATGAGGTCGATGGCCTTGAGCTCAAGCTGTGAGGTTTGAATTGGTGTGAGCTACTTTTATACGTTTTTACATGTCTCTTCCCTTTTAATCAGCTCAGATTCTCCTTCTAGCTATTTTCGGCTAAGCCATCTAGCTATTTCTAGCTGCAGCCTGCTATACTTTTAATCTTCACTTTTCAAATTTAATTTGTTTATTTATTCATTCTTGTCAGTCCCATTGGGTCGATTCCAGCTCTCTCTCTCTCTTTCTCTCTCGTGCTTTCCTTTCCTCTCCGTTCCTCAACTCCTCACCACGATCCTATTAGCCTGATTATCTTGGAATCTTCTAGAATTGCCAAGTTCTAGCTAGTTTTAGCTATTTTTGGCTACACAATCAATAATCGTTTTTCAAAACACATCTCCCGGGAATCGGCCTATCACTCTAGCAAATTGCCAACCACTCGATTAGCCAAACTCACCCTCAATATCCTGAAGGGGCTGTCACGCAACAGGCAGACCTGCTCCGCTGGCTGCTCGGGCGGCAGTATGGCCTCCAGTGGGGACTCCGCATCATCTTCCGCCATATCCACGCGCTTGGGACCCGCACTGCGCTCGATTATCATCGAGAATATCCAGTACTGCGAAATGAACCAGCTCTTAAGCTCGAAACTTTTCTAGAATTTCCATTGTCTCTCACTCACCTTGCTGTTCCGATTGCTAGTTCCGCTACCGCCTCCTCCTCCGCCGCCACCTCCGCCTCCGCTGCTATTGGCGTGCAACTTGGGCAGCAACTTGGGCTGTGCTTCCATCAGATCGGGCGGTGAGCGATGTCCACATTGGGCATTGTAAACACCGTTCCAGAGCTTGGGCATATCGAGTGGATCGGGTTGCTTCGCCTGCGGCTCCTGCTGATCTGTGCCAGCAGCTGTTGCGATGGTAAAGGGCCGCAAATCACGACTGCTAACGATAGATTGGCATTCATCAGTGCTGAGTATTTCACAATAATCCCTGTCACAATTATCAGCCACAATCAATCGGCTAATTAGTTATTGATTGGGCTGCCCAAGCCAAACCGTTTAACAAACGTCTGAAATTCGTCTCTCTCCCTATTTAGATAACCCAATCAATCGTCACACGATATTCAAATTCCGTTATTGTTGTYGTTGTTTGCTCAGGCAGATAAGGGTGCAAGGCCTGGCAGCTATTGTGGGGGTTGGCAACTGTACCAGAACGCTTGACGGGTCTCTGAATAATGCTGCCAATTTCTCGGAATATATGACCAACAAATGGACTGAGAAGGGCATATTAGTTGCAGCTGCAAAGCAGGAGGCATGGCAGGCATACTAAATATGAATGAATTTAAGCAAGTCTCCTAGTCGTATACTCTCTCGCTCTCTCTCTCTCTCTCTACTATATCGTTTAGCATAACGTTTATAATTGTTACGGAGTCAACGCCCGCTTGACACATATTTTTATTGCGCTTCTCTCTCTCTCTCTCCCTCTCTGCCTCTCTCTGGGGATACCGAAACCACATTAGTTGACAGTCGTTAATTAAAGAGTCGCTTATTTTTGGCAGACACTATTAATGGCGATTCCATTTGCATTTCACAATGGCCACGCCCCTCACCTGCTCCGCTCCAGCGGCATGGCGAAGCGACTCGAAGAACCAACTGCTTCGAGAACTGAAATCCAACTAAATGACAAATCTGACATCTGATATTGGCCTGCATCAATGCTAGCGTAATTAAATTACAGAGATACGGATCGGCTGTCTATATCCGAATCGGAATCAGCCTTTGTTGTGCATGGCTCGTGGGCATTGTGCATTTGCCTAATGAAAGTGCTGAATGCGGAATAGGCTCTGCCCTTCTGTGATTTCTACTGCAATCGCCCAATCGAAAGGTGACTTTCATTTTGGGGCTGATGAGCTGACGAAATGTCCAAAAATGTTGATTAGTATGAGTGCCCGAAGCAAACAAAAGCTAACATATGTGACTTTTTTTTTTTTTTTTTGCGTGAATTTGATTAATTAAATCGGTCAATATTGCAATATCAAATGACATATGGAGCGGCTTTTTAAGTAAAGAGATGTTTTATGCTAAAGAAAATTAATTGAAAATAATGAATTTATTTTACTTCATTTTAATATAACTATAAAATCTATCTTATCTATTTGTAAATTTATAGATTTATAGAATACAAATTATTATATATTATTCTCCTTATTAATTATATTATTTCATGATTATCTTTAATTATTTATTTAATCTAACTAAAAATTCAAACTTTTTTTTTAAGTTTTCCCTTTTTTTTAACTTTTTGATCAAACGAATAATTGTTTAAAACTTACCTGATTTTCAATGAGAAACGTTCAACGTTTAGTTTCTTAGGCGTAGCCTTAAAAGCGATCATATAAATTGTTAATTCGTTGGGAACGTAGTGCTTACAATTCACATTTTTAATTGGCCTTTAATACAAATATTTTGTTTAAATTAATTAATTGTTAAATTTACAAGTTATTAAATATATCTTTTCTATGTAAATAAAGTCAAGTAAGCCTTAACAGCTGTGAAACTTTTGCTTATTTTCTTTACACTTCTGAGCACTAGAAAACACTTTTCATAGGAGATCCAAATTAAAAATTGTGAATTAAAGTTTGACAAACAGCATAAACTAAATATAAATTATTTTATTTAGATATATTCGTGGGGTGCTATAAAATAAATAAAATGTTTTGAAGTTATATTATTATTTATAATTCGGGTATTTTTTATATATTATGCCATATGCTTGAGCTTTATGGATCGCTTTGGCATATTGCATGGGGACAACACTGTTTTGAGTTTAAGTTTCCTTAGTGAACTTTCAGTTATTGATGGACAGGTGGGTGACACTTTTGTTGTTGTTGTTGTTGTTGTTGTTACTTTAGTTGACTTTCTTTGAGCACAACACTTTAATTAAGAAACGCAATTAAAACTGCTTTTGTGTGCGTGTGCGTGTGTGTGTGTGTGTGTGCAGTTACTCTGCTGTAGCTTTATTAGCACTTTATTGGACTTCTGCGTACCGACAGCCTCGCCAGCTGAACTTCAACTGAGTGCTAGAGCAACTGAGCTGCGACTGTAGTTCCAGCTAACCCATTGAGTGAGTCCCTAGCCTTTAACTAGGGCCTCCATCCAAGTCTCGATAAGCGTGTCTGCCTTTCGTCAATTTGTCACACAGCTCAGCTGAAGCTCATACGAACCTCATACGACAACTGGGCATTCGCTTGACATTTGCTTTTGTAATTAAACTGTTTGCGAAATGCTCACAAATATATATACGTACATATATGAAAATTGTATAAGTATATATTAATATATGTATACGTATATGTATCTCTCGCTCTCTCTCTCTCTCTGTGTCTCTGTGTTCGTCTCGTTTATGGTGAAATACGACGAGTAAAGGAATTTTACATTAGTTTTGCATTTGTTGTTCCATTTTTATCAATGGGCTAACAAAGTTTCCATTGGCCAGGGTACGGCATTGCGTGTAATTGATTGAATGAGATCCTTAATCTGTATGACGTTAAGTATATGTCTCTATATTTATATATAAATGTGCGCCTAGAGCTTGCAATTTTTGAAATGAACCAGAACTCCCTGGAGTAGGACTGAAATTTTCAATTCAGAAATTGTGCTACTTAGACGATTGTGAATGATTGATAAAATGATATATGATAAATTTATCTGAGCCCACTTAAGCAATAAATTACTGGAAAACAAATTAGTACTGAGAATTGTTTGAAGTGTGTCAAAGCAGGCAAAACTCTGCTGTAGCTAAACAAACAAAAAATATATATATATTAATTTAATCCACATAAGAAAATACAGCGAAGTTTACCTTGATGGATCTAAGTATTTATTAGTAATTTAAAGATCTATATAAATTGATTGATGAATGATGATTGTTATTGATGAATTGATGTGTTCAGGAATTGATTTAAAAAGACCATGAAATTTCTGAATATTTTTCGTTAACATTTTATACATATTATTTTTAATATTAATGAAAATATTTATTTGTTTTTTGTTTTTCTTTTAATTTTTGCTCTGGAATTTTAAGTCATGCCTAAAATAAGTAGATCAAAATATATTTTAATATTTCAATAATATCAGCATAACTAAAGTTTCTTTAAGCAATTGATTTCCAGTACGCATTGCCAAGTCCGCGCTAGCCTCGGCTCGGGAAACCCCAGGCATGCTCACGTTTCCATCCCCAATGGAAGCCTGCAAAGTCTGCCCGGCATATGCAGGACGTATATAAGCATCTAGATAGAAATTGTATACTATATATCTGGGCAGCCTTATCGCTGGCCAGTCGAACGCCTTTTCAGCACATACTTGTTCCAGCGATTGCTAATTGCATTTAATTAATCAGAAAGCCACGAGTTACAGGCAGCGTATTCGACATTTAATAACACTTAAAAAGCCAATGAAACAAGAGGAGAAATTTAGTTCATTATAAAAGTTGCAAATTGAAAATTGAAAAAGTGGAAAATCATTGAAGGGGAATTTTCATCATTTGATTGGGTAAATTGGAGAAGAACAAAGTCAAGCCCAGCACCAGGCACATTAATAGGATGCCCATGTAAACATATTTGCGTATGACGGGCCACAGAATGAGATGGGCGGACTTGAAGGGATGCGTCAGAGGATTAAACGACGTCTTGGGACGACTGTAAAGGGAATTGTAGTAAATGCCATGAAAATGCGAAAATAAGTTCGAAGACCTACTTGGGTGGCTCCAGTGCCATGGGAGGCTGATGACCTAGGCCAGCGGGTGCATTGGATGCCTCTGACTCCGTTAAGATTTCCAATTGCAACTGTGCTTTGCCCTAGAATTTTCAAAATAATTAGCGCTAAAGAAAGGAAATATCTTATACGATAGATTGGAACTAGGGATAGCATAAGAAGCCACAGATGGCATAGCTTTTAGTTCTCAGATATCATATGGAATATACGCACTGTTATCGTCCTATGCACGGGTTGTCCATCCTTCGATCTTAGCCCATCGACTAGAGGAAACCAACCCTCAGCAGCTTTTCTATTGAAGAGATTAATACGCTGATGGGAATTGGGAAAGGGTTTACAACGTCCATCGGACGTATAGGGCACCGGGAGATCAGATAAATTTAGCTCCAGGGCACCCAAGAATTCGTCTTTACTGAGGACATCCTTATCCCAGACCTGAAAATAGATTATCGGTGGCTTCTTGATTTCGATTTCCTCGCCCTGCAGCCCGCCCTTGCGCCTGATGACCATCTGCAAAGCAGATTTAATGAGTTGCTTCATTATTTGGGCTCTTAATATTATTTTACAGCTGCCAATTAGGCGAGGCTAGAGCACCTACCATGTCCTCGTTGGGCGAGTATTTCATTTGGAATATCATCCGCCAATTAAATGCAGCCTCGCCAGCAAATGAACGGTAATGTATATCCGTCGACTGGTACTTGCCCGAGTCCTGGCACCAGCTGCCAAAAAGGAGAGCGAAATGCAAAATGCGCTTAATTGAATATCGTTTACACTATGCGAACCCCTAGCCACATGCCCCACGCCCCTCGCTCCCCACTCTACATTCCCCTCCGGCAGCTCTTACCCAATCACATAAATATCGCTCATTAATTTGCCGAAAATGTTTTTATCTCCAAACTGAATATCGCGCAAACTTTTGACCACAACACGCACCTCATAGTCATAGGGGGGCACGGGTGTAATGTCCACGGGCGGTGGCAGAAACATGCTCGCCTCATACAGCTCTAACCACATTTGGATTTTACCCTGAAAGAGGCAGATGGAAATCGAATGGAATCAATTTGCGGTATGCAACTAGATATACCCTGTAGGAGGATATCATTTGACCTTGTCTCATGTGTAGTCACCTGCAAGACTCCGGGACTATCGTCGTTATATAAGGAACGTGTTTCGACATGCTCCGGCACCAGCTTGTAGCCAAAGGAAGGCAACTTATCCAGATTGTTGAGGGCCGTCAGGCTCAATCGCTCCTTCAGCTCCTCCGCTGTGGGCGAGCGAATTAGCTTAGGTCTAGACTTTAGCTGAAGTACCCACATTTTGAAATGACGGTCTCGTCGCCCAAGAGCGTGCCATCCACCTCGATGACATTGCCATAGTAATAGGGAGGCGGAATGCCTCGCTGCTGGCAGAGCTCGGCAAGCAGCTGGGAGGGCAGCAGAGGGTCCCTCCACTGGTTGTAGCCGAAGCGTGAGTACTCCCGTGGAATGCCCAATGTGGCGCGATGCTTGCTGTGCCAGCGGTCCTCCAGATCGATGAGAGTGTACCCTATGTTTCCGTCTTTGCGCTTGTCATGATCGAACAGGGCCAGCTCCAGCATGGGATCGGCGGGCAGCGTTGTGCTCAGCTCGAAGAAACGCCCGAAGATTGGATTACTCTGGTTGGGCACATAGTGTGCACGATCCGAGATCATCTTGCCGCCCAGTGTGAGGCGCACATACGTATCCGAATCGGTAAACCAATCTCTAGGCCGGATTTGGAGACCCTGTACTACGTAAACCCTGACTATCAGTTTGACTACATCGGTCAGCGATTTGATTAGGCTCTGATCACGCGGACTTAGAGCAGCCGGCAATGGCAGCAACATTTCCCCATCGCCAACTCCATCCTCAGTCTTCGCACTCTCACAGGGCGTCAGCTTAATCTGCAGCTTCAGTATGGCATAGACGTCCTCTTTAGGGGGTCCATGCTTCTTCATCTTGACGCCATGCACCAGGGGCACGGGCACAGCCCAATCCTGAAAGTAACTGAATTGAGGCTGCTTCTCGAGCTCTGTACTGTAGATGACCAGTTTGTGCTTGCACTTATGCAATCCATCGTCGTTTCCAATCCACATGGAGTTGTAGAACTTGGTCCACCACGTGAATCGACTATCCACGACTTCAGTCAAGTCCCTGCAATCCTCTAGTCTAAGTAGATTCTTGTTGGCATAGGGGGCGGATCGTAAGCCCAACATGATCTTCAGACGCTTCCAGAAGACGGGCCCCTCATCCACTGGAATATTTCTGTCGTCGTCCTCCGTCGTTTCGTCTTGATTTATAACAATTATTGAATTGGTACCGGGACTTTCGACCGGCTTTCGCATGCATTTGTTCACTTGATCCTTTTGCAGAAAGTTCGGCGAGGGGGGTATTAGGGCAGCGCCTAAGGTAGTCTCATGGGAGAAGCTGCTGACCAAAACATCCGTGGCTATTATAGCCGGCCAGTATTCCTGCTGATCGGGCAGGCTCTGCAAGGTTCTACATAGCTATCAGAGAGCATTTCAATTGAAAGTGAGGCTACCCACCACAACGCCGGAGGCGTAGGCCACCAGGAAGTTGATGCTGTTCCTCACCCGCGAGGTAGAGAGTCCACTAGTTAAGACCAGATCCGCCATGATGACCTTGGCACGTCGCTTGCCCGCCATGCACATGCCCACCTTAGTATAGTTGCGCAGTCCAACAAAAATAATCTCGAGCCTAGTTCCTTGGGTATTAGAGGGAACTTTATGTTTAAGAAAAGTAGCTAGGACTTACACGTAGTTGAGCATATTGGGTCGTATAGAGGGAGGTATGCCTGCAGTCAGCTCCGGTTCCTTATCCTCAAAGATCTGCGTATCGCCCACCAGCTGCTTCAATTCCACCGACATTAAGAGTTCAGCCTGGACCCTTCCATTCTTGGCAATGGAAACCCACTTAAGGGGAGGCGGACTGACATTCCTCAACTTTTTGAGCCTCTGAAGAGTACCTTGGGCCAAATACTTGCTTTCATCGCCGCGGCTGCTCTCATCGCTCTGGTCCGCTGTGATGACATTTGCCTTGATTTGCCCAGTGCCCACTGACTCCTGCTGACAGTTGAAGAGCTCCAAGCCGAGCAGCGGCGGATTCTGCAGATACCAGCTGACGCCGCCCGGCAGGGACACGCCATTCACGGTGATCACAGCATCCCAGATGGGCGAACAGATGCTCTTAGCTGTGTCCGTCTCAGCCACCTGCGATGCAAAGATAACGCGCACATATCCATCGCACTCGACCTTATTATCGCTGCCCGGCCGTATCTTCGCCTGGTGCACATAGATATGACAGCGGAAGAACGTTTGCCCCACATTCGGCAGCCAAGTGTAGGGTGAGGGCGAGGACCACTCGCCCGCAATGCGGGACAGGAATTCGTGCCGTTCACTCTCGAGCACTATAGCGATACAGCCGAGGACGAGGCCAGCATTGCAGCCACAGTTGGAGCAGGTGTGCGAGCAGCTGGTGCTCTTGAAGAAGAAGCTCTTCATGTGCCAGCAATGATTGCTCGCCTGGTTGACTTCCCGCTTTTGCAGACTCAGAAAGTGTTTGGCATTCAGGTGACAGACCCCAATCTGTTTGCCCCCTGCACTCAGGGTGAGCAGCAGCTCCGGCCATTCGTCCTGCACGTGCATTAAATTAGACAGCGAATTGATTTCCCCAATTACACGGTGCAGCTCGTTAACTATGTCCATTATGGTGGAATCCATATTCGAGGAGTAGCTCGACTTCAGTCTCTGTCGCAACGAGCGCAGCTCCTTGGGCACCTTTCTGAAGTAAGACAGCACGTATTGCTGTCTATTCAAATCCCAGGTGGTGCACTCCTCCCCCATATCGTAGTCGAAGCGATGCAAGCCCACGCTTTCTTCGATTTTTGAAAGGAAGCTATGGATAATGGACTTCAGGCATTTGGTCTGATGTTGTATGTGATTGGGGTATTTGAGCTGAAAGATCTTAAAGGTGGCCAGCTCAGAGCGCTAAGAAAGATAGGTTTAAGGCGTCGGGCTAGCACTTATCGCATGGGCCTTACCATATAGTTGGCTATATCAGTCATAAAGAAATCCCCTTCAAATTTGATGCGATTATCGGGCAGGTGGATACGGAATATACAAGACTGATAAGGCGAATCCTGGCGAAAGGATTTCGTTTGCGAACGAAATTTGCCCGATGGTGTCGTCAATGGTCCCTCTAGTTCATTCGAGGTAAACTCCGCAAGCTGGACAACAAATTTATACTGCTGCGAGCTGGTGGGTATATTATCTCCGAGAATAGGCAGGAACTCCACAATAAAAGACTGGTCTGACCAGTTGGATGGAGGAGTCACCGATTCGGTAATCAAAACGTGCGTGGGATGACCTTCCTGCAGAGTTTCAGAACGCAACTCCAACAGAACGCGACCCACATAGTTCGACGGACCGATAGGATCGTACAGATGCAAATAAGTTGGTCCAAACGAGGGCTTGTCTACCGAAATATAAAAGGAGCGAATAGAGATTCTTTATAAATATTTGAAGTAATACTTTCAAAACTTACCTTCAAAGGCAATTTCATCGAAAGACATATCATATTGTGCTATACATTTCCATTGCATATGCTCCTGCATCATAACCAATATGAGAAATCGTTGGGCCAGAGAGGGAAAGACCCATGCAAAACTAATCTCCTGATTCCACACCGGTGTCAATGTATTCTTCTGCACAGCCGTTTTGCCCTATAATGGATGCAAAGTGGACTTTACTCAAAACGAAAACTAAAGTCAATGCCGTAATGCAGATACTTTGAAGCCAGCGAATGATACTTGTATCATGTAGTTACTCCGCTTCGTGAAGATGCCACGATAGAAGCTGATGAAGTAACGAATGTTTCTCAGGGTATCCGAGTCGACGTCCTCTAAGAGATTGCTGTACGGATTTATTTAGCAGAAAATGTAGCTACCTAGATCCCTTACCTCTTGATATCGTCAAAATCATGATGCGTTGGCCATTTGATCAGCTCCTCATGTTCATCTCCAGTTGGAGTTGTCTTCACAGCGCTGTGCTGCGAGACGATGGCCAAGTCGATTTGCAGATAGCCACACGATTCGCGCTCGCCTCCCTTGAACGGGTGCTCTCCCAGGGGCGCCTCGAGTCGACCCCATCGCTTGAAGTAGCAGTGATTGGGCTGATTCCACACGCTATGCAAATCAATCATCAGTTCACCCATGTTCGTGTTCTTCTTGTACATCAAGTACTTTTTCAGCTCAAAGAGCACAGTCAGACGCAACAGCTCAGCGAGCGTACAGTGGAACTCAAATACAAAATACTGAAAGAGACATGAATTATGACTAAGTATATTTATTTACTTGCTGCTTACCTCATTAAAGAATGGATTCTCGGAGTTCGTTTGAGTTTTCGTATTCTTGGTCATTTTATCTAAGCAAATTTTCACGTACAGCTCTCCGTTGGGCACGCCCGTCTCTGCCGCCTTATGCACTGTAATGCATATAAGAAAATCTTGTATGGCACCCGCAAAGCAGTCCGAATGATTCATTTTATTTGTAACTTATTCAATATTTTACGAAATTATTGGATATTATTTTATTTGTTTTGATTAAATGCTCTGAAGCTGTTTTGCTTAACATGAATTTTCATGAAAAGATTTTTACATATTCAAAATTTTAATTGTAACTGTCATTGACAATAACGCTCTGGCAACACTGTTGTCTAGTCAATTCACCGCAAGCAATACTTGAAAGCTCTCTGTCCAGCGCTACCAGTTCACCTCGAAAGCTCGCCGTTGCAAGCGCTAAACGCGCTTACTGTTGTTCGCTGTGGAAGCTTTCAGCTGGCCCAACCTGCTATTTATATGCATGTGGCGGTGCAGACAGTCATTGGCGTACTCAGGGAGGGTTTTTATTTTGTTTTTGTATTAAGAAGTAATTAGTTGAATATATCAAATGGAACTTTTAATATGGCTGTAATATAATGTATTTAGTTAATTCCAATTATATTTGACTATACTTAACTGCTATCTTCGTATCTGCTTTTGGTCAAGTTTTTCATTATGGCCCCTTCTGTAAACTTGCTGTCCGCGCCTCTGGCTTCAGCTCTTTGAGCTTGTGCTTTTGAGCTCCAGCTCTCCAGCTCTCTAGCTCTGATGTTGGGCACTTCAGTTTCAGTTCGCGTGCACGGGCCAAACAGTTGACATAGTGTTGCTTGCGCTCACAGATTCGTATCGGGGCTATATTGAAAGCGAGCATCGCAGTTTGCAGCCGTCGGTCGTAGTTGTTGTCGTGGTCGGAATTGTTGTTGTTATTGCTGTCATCGCAGTTGCGTCTCTGCGTGCGTGAGTGAGTGAGTGTGTGTGTGAGCCTGCCTAGAATCGCTCAAGCGGGAGTTGGCTGTTACTTTGCTCTCAGCCTCCAGCATACGCTTCGTCCAAGCTTTCGGTGCGTCTCTTCTGGGTGCCTACGCGCCTCCAACTCTGTTTATGTGTGTGTAGGTGTGTGTGAGTGTGTGTGTGCTGCTGATTTTGTGTATAATTTTTTGCGCGCGCTCAATCAAAACAGATCCCAGTAAAAGCAGCCATAACAAAACTGAGCAGAAACCATCAATGAAAATTAATCTTTAATTTCAATTAATATTCGAAGCAATCATTTAAACATATCACGCTACCAATACGAAAAACTAAAGCAAAAAACTTAAAAATAAATTGTTGGCTAAGGTTAACAGAAACAGAATACAATATTTTCAGCTGTCTACACAATGCATGAGAATAAGAAAACATACATACATATGTATGTATATGCATAAATGTATACAAAATAAAATGCTCTAAATTTCCCACAATCATTGCAGCAAACACATCAACAGGACCTTCGTCGCTTTACGCATCCTCTTTTTAATATTCCATAAGCTCGCTACCGAACGCGTGCTAAGAACTTTTCAGGTAAGCTTGACTTTTAGTTTTACACTCATGCATACATATATATTTTCGTATACGTGTGTGTGTGTGAGCATGCATAAATCAAAAGAGCAGAGCAAGCAACGCCAGAGAGTTTGATTCTGCTGCTGCTGCTGCTGCTGCTGCTGCTCAGCAGCTGACACCCAGCCACCCACTTGAATCGCCCACACCCAGAGCAGCTACCCCAATGCCCAACCCAAGGCTCAGTGGTGGATACGCACACGCTTTTGCGTCGTTGCCTTCTAGCTCTTCTCCGATTGCTGAATGCTGCTGCCTCCCCCTTTCGCCTATGCTGTCCGTGTGTGTGTGTGTGTGTGTGTGTGAATGTGTCCAACTCCTTCTGCTTTAACATCTCTCTCTCTCTCCTTCTCCTTTATTTACCGTTGCAACTTGTGCCACTTTTCAATTGTCATTTACGCGTCACTTCTTTGCGGTCTTCACAGTATTTTATCTCTTCTTCTGCTCCTCGTTTTTGACTGTGTTGTTCTTTATTTTTGTTGGGTGCAGTGAAAGGCTTGCAAATACTTTCGTAGCCCATTTGCAGTTGTTGTTGTTGKTTTTACTCTTTTTGTATTTCTTGCTTGCAATTTCGTATCGTTCTTTTGCGCATTTGTAGCCATTCGCTTTTTGATCTTGAAACTCGTGCTCTGTCTCTCTCGCTCTCGCTCTCGTTCTCGCTAACTCTCTGCTCGGCTGCTGCTGCTTCTGCTGCTGCGAACGAGTTTATCGAACAGGAAAAATCATTAAAGCAATTCAAATTGTTTATTGAAAAGCAACGGAAAGCAGGGGACAGCGGAGAAAAAAAAAGCGAGAATCGACAAATTCGTTTTTTTCTGTGTTTGTTATTATCTCTCTTTTGTGCTGATTTTTGCAAGATTTGTGGACTCACTTTTGTTGCTCTATTTGCAATTAGCTAGTTAAACTGTTCTAAACACAAGAGGCATGCAAACTTGTGTGGACGTTATGGTACGCTGTGAAGTGAAAGACCAGCTAAGAGGTATCTTAAATATTTGACATATTAATTATCCAATATTTTTATGAAATCATATTTGTAAATATTTATATTGCAAAATTTGGTAGTTACTTTCTCTGTAGCTTGTTAACGGCTCAGCTCTTAGTCACACTACTTAATCAGTGCTATCAACTGCTGATTAAGCTGAGCACTAGATAGACAAAGGCCTTTAAAATCAGATTTTAATTGATTAAACAATCGAAACGTGGCTTAAAAGCAGTTGCAGAACAAAGCTGGCGTATAAAAAATAACAATAAAAAATAATTAACAGATAACACAGCTGTGCAATAGAAATATATATCTAGGCATAAATAATTGCTCTGTGAGTGGTAAAACAGCTCAGTCGATATACATGTATGTATGTATGTATAAAGTGTTGCCAATCAAGTAGACAAAGTTTTTCGTTCGTAATTCAGTTACCAAACATCCGCATAAAGGCTGTTGCAAGCCGCAAGAAGAACACATCAAGCATGAAGTCAGGGCTCAGGCTCAAACGTGCAACATAATTCAATTAGTATAGAGTGCGAGCGAGACAGCGATACAGATAGAGGGAATCGCATAAAAGCAGCCGCAGCGAAGCGAAAGGAAGTCGCAATGGTCGCTAGAGGGCGCCACCTGACTCAGCCTGTCTGCCCGCTTGCCGAGGGGCGGCACTTGAATTCGCCGCCGAAAAGTAGCCAAAAAATCAAGGAAAAAAATAACAAATCTTTGAGCCAAATTGGCGACACTTTGCACTGTTGACCCACATAAAAGAAACTTTTAAAAGTTTATTTTTTTTTTAACGTAATTTGATAAACTTCTTCAGTACGAGCGCTTCGCAAAGTTTCAAAACTTGATATGAAATATACAGGCAGACAATGGCCGCTCGGCGCTAATAAAACTGACATGAAATATGCTACGGCACGAACTCAAGGTGATCAACTCTGAGGTATCTGTAGAAACGTATCTGCTCGAAATGTATCTGCATTCGGGCGGGCAGCGCCTGGGTTACGGTCACGATGCGTGTTGCGCATTGCATATTTTATGGTAACTCGAACTAGTTGCCCTAACTCTTTGCCACTTTCACACCAGGGCCGGGCCAGCTAAGCTTAGCTTAACACGCCACGCCCCTCGGCAATCGCCGCCGCCCACTGGCATTTCTCACAGTCAGCTAAAATTACAAAGTTTGCTTCAATTACAGCAGCCGCAGCGGCAGTCACTGCCAATTGCCATGTGTTTGCCCCAAGTTCAGTGCTCTGGTCAGTAATTAACAAGTAAGAACGTTGCAGTCGGGCGATACCGATTGCAGAAGACTCATTCACAGCCYAAACGCTGTCAACCAGAGTATATAGTGCAATTTTCAAGTCTAGTRCGCAACAAAAAACAGGGCATGATCCCATTAAAATTGGAAAATCATCGATAGCTATTGCTATGATCATTGCATAATTGCATTCAAATTACATGCATATGTATATAATTTATACAATTTTGACTTTTAATAATATACATGTATTTATATCCATATATTGGATACCGGCTTCAAGCTAGCAGCAGATCAGCGCGATTTTACTATACATGTGCACACACTCATCGTCTATTCTATGCGTACAGACAGAAGCGCGCCTTTTCTCACATTCTTAGAATTTCGATTGATTTCTGGACTTTCTNGTTCCAAATTTCAAGTCTCTAGCTTCAATAGCGCCGAAATAGATTGCGTTCATACGGACAGACGGACAGACGGACGGACAGCAAGACGGACATTGCACAAAACCAATATACTCATTTCACTTTCGTGAATGAGTCTAAAAATCAAGCCTCTGTCTGCAGGAAGACCCGCACAGGCACACAGAGAGCTATCAGAGTGCGTTTATGTGTGTGTGTGTGTGTGTGCTTGCTTGAAGTTCTCACCAGCTCTTACCTAACTTCCCATTCTTAATTGTGCACAAATCATGGGTCTACATTTCATTGTAACTACTGCGAATCCATTAGATCTCTTTTGCCCATAGATACTTCTATTTCCTTAGAGCCAGCGCAGTTCATTTAGCGGAAATCGAATACGCTGCACTTAACTGCTGCAATTCTTTCTCTAGCTCTAGCTATGACCCCAGGCCTTAAGCCATTCGCCTAATCACTTTGGCTGTCCCTCTCGCTCTCTCCATCTCTATCTCTCTCTCACTGACTCCGCTGTTGCCTTTGTGGCTTAGGAGTTGCCACAGCGTCACATTCGATTAGATTAGCCTTTGTTTGTCATTGTTGCAGCAATGCCAAATCCCTAAATGACCAGTCTCTAACGTTTCACTTGACAGCCCATTGTCTTAAAGCACAAACTTAATTCAATTAAGTGTTGTGAAAGTGTTAAATTAGCTAACTTCAACTTATGAGAATCGCATAGAAAGTCTGGCTTTTTCTGCTGCTTATAGGATATATGTATTCTTGTCAGTAATTACATAAATTTCTATACATTCATATATGCATACATTGACACATACATGCMAATCTACTCATACATGCATGCATGCGTTACTTTCATTTGGAAAGGTAACTTATTTAACTGAATACATAGATCATTAGTTAAAATTTCAACAGTACATGCATGCGCTTATATATGCAGGCATGCATACACACATCAATACATGGATACATGTGCACCTATACGTGCATAAAAATCTTAAATTTCCTATAAAGTGACAGACTCAGGCTCAGATGTGTCATGCATCTCTATATACATGTATATGCATCTATATACCTAAATATATATACATATATCATCTATGTACATATGCATATGCTCAAAGGCATCCATGCAAACATTATTCACATTACTTACATCCCATAAATTAGCTATAATAAAAATTTAACTTTCTAGCTGCTGGGCTGAGCTTTGAATGAGTTGAGTGAGGCAACACAAGTAGATCTATACATAAGTACATATATTTATATGCTATGCAAGAGTTCTGCTCGTTTCTACTATCACAACAAACTTTAAGTTCAATTTCAATTGATGAAAGTTTGTCTATTATCAATTAGAATTAAAATTCCGTCTGCACTGAGGGAAAATTAAATGTTTAAATGGCTTAGGCTTCGGCTTAAGTAGATTATAATCGAACACAACTTGGGGCGCAGTGCCCTGTGGTCAATTTACAGGCCAGCAAAGAGAAATAAATGTTAGTTCGATTTTCTTTTCGGGTGGCATTCCGTGAGGTAACTGCAGAGCAGATCAGGTGTGTAACAGGTAACAGGTGCTGGCATCGTTTAGTGCCCTCTTTAATGCGCGCTGTCAAACGCTTGATTAATGAATCAAACTACTATAACAACTAAAGGCACCCAAAAACAGGAAGTGGCACAAAATATAAAAATATTTACTTTCGCATGAAAAAAATACAAAATAAAAGCAACACAAAGAAATGGCTTAAAAAAATGGGCGATTGCGCAATTGAGTGTGCGTAACTGCAGTCATTGTTGCGGCAGCTCTTCAGGTAGCACAGACAGGTAACTGGCGACAGCAATTAACTGCGATGCTCAATCAGTTAAAGATTCGGAAAATATGTCTCAATTTGTGGGCTTAAACTCCCAAAAAATAAATTATAAACTGCAATTGAAATTGATTTTAAGCATGGGCATAGATTACAGAGTATTTTCAGTTTACCTTTTTTGTTGTCTTCTTTTTTTTTTCGATGTTTGTTTGTTGTTTCTGTAAATGAAAACACAAAAAGTGAAAGTCCGAATGGGCGACTGCTGCAACAGTGCATATTAATTTGGCTTTTAGTTTTTAATCATAGCCGAAAGACAACGAGACGGACAAAGCTGGCCTAAAGCCCAAAAACATTGAAATAAAAAACTGGTCACCCTTAAGCCCTATTTTCAGTTTGTTGTTGTTGTTGTAGGCACTGCTGCGGCTACTGCTAGCAACTGCGCATGTGTGGCTCAGTTGGCTCAGGTTTTTCCACATATTTGCAAGCTGATGTAATACTTATAGGCGCACAACAGCGAGTGC